GGTATCATTTTTTCCACATCCCTCCCTTCGGAAGCAACAATTTATATTAAAATGTTATTTGACGTAATAGCTATTTCATTAAATATTCCATCAAACAAATAATACTCTTTATTAATTTTCAATTTTACCCCCGGAAAATAAAACCCTCAAACAAGGTCTGAACACGTCGATACATTGATATTTACACGCTGATAGGAAACAATCGATAACGAGCGCGAAAATTGTTTCTGCCAACTGATACATCCATATATGAGATGGTGTGTACGTGTACGGGCGGCCCAAGTAATTAATTCATGGACGTGAGATAAAAATGGTTTATTAAATGCCACCCCGAATGATTTGTCGTTGGCATTCGGCCCGAGGACTTTGGTTGATGCGGTTAACGCGATGAACTGACCGAAATGTTGCAAATCCCGTATTAAATTGCACGGCATGGCAGGAAAATAAGCAAATTGAAAGAGAAACGGCTTATTTTATTTTAACCGCGGCGCGAGTCGAATTGCGTTAGGTATAACAATACCTATCTCGCAGATTTTTTAACACGGCTTGCCCTGGTAACCTAATACGGATTGCATTCCTACAATACACTAATTAAGTTACACGGCGTACTAAAAAAAAAAACGATTTTATCAATTTTTGCTATTTCCATAACTAGTTACCTTTTTTCAGCGTAAATTGGATTATAATTCACACGAATTTAAACCGAGATCCTATCAAGTTCCACGAATTTTCATCATTGCATTATCTATTATTTAATAAAAAAGCACATTTAATTATCACGGTTTTACTATAGTTTAATAATTTCATTATTTAATCTAATAATTTATTAAATGATAATACAATTTATGACCATAATTAAACAAACGCACGCACATATAAATGAAATTTTTATTATACATTATATATAATTTTCGCGTTCTGTTACACTAGTAAACTAGTATATAACCTCGACTATTATTTCTTTGCTGCAGGAGAGCAATCCTGACGAACCCTGACCTGCTGGCGAGCACACCATGGTACCGGTTGTTCGAGAATGACTTCTGGGGAACACCGCTGACGGAACGTGGCTCGCACGGAAGCTATCGACCGCTCTGTGTGGCCACCTTTCGTCTGAATCATTTTCTGGGTGGCCTCGAACCCTGGGGCTACCATCTGGTGAACGTAGCATTACACGCCGCCTGCACCGTTCTCGTGGTCAAGGTCGCCAGAAAGGTGAGTAATCGCTTCCGCTCTAAGGCCGAGTACTCACTAGTCACTAGGACTGTGCAACGTGCAACGCAACGGTTGCTACAATTTTTTCACAATAGGGGTTTGTTCCGAAATAAGGACACGTACTCACTAGTTGCATGGCAGCAACCGTTGCGTTGCACGTTGCACGGTCCTAGTGAGTACCCGGCATAAGATATCGTCTTGCGAAGCAAAATAAATTAATTCCGCGATAAGTTGCGACAAAATTAAAAAATGTTGACCGCATTAAAACAACAAAATGATTGTGTCGTGACAAATAGCATACGGATTTTATGCCAAGGCGATAGAAAGGAGCTAACGGTGACACCTGTAGAGCGCATATCACACGGGAGTTTTGATAATATCCTATGATTTAGTGGCTGTCAAAAATAAAATCTTAAAAGTTCGTCCGAAATATTATCGTTAACGCCCGTGCTGTGTATTCCCCTTTCGGTATAAAAATCAGCGTATCATGAAGGAGATTAATGTAAAGTCTGGAATCTATATTTGAAATTCATCAATATCCAATGAAAAAAGCTAATTATTAACAAATTTTATCTCCTGCTGCTTGTGTTTGTATTTCGTGTAAATTGTTTACCATCAAAATAAGCGATACCGACAATTAATCAAGATTTAGGCATCTGCTAGGTATTGGTAGACTTAAAATTCTCCTTCCATCGGTTACACCACAATCTCTACTACACGACATTAATTTTCATGGTTTTGTTGGGAGAAAATTACAAGCTCAATTCGCTTCGCAGTAAAAGTCACGTTATGAATCCATCTAATTATTAAGTAATCCTAGATTCGTTTTATATCCGAAATAAAGCCACGGAAGATCCTTCTTATTTTATTTATGCCGGAGCACATCTCTCCAGAGAATTGTCGGCAGGAGGATTCAAATAACGAGGGAGAGCCCGTTTAACTTTGCCATAAGCCTGCTGCGCAGTTTTAATTTTACGACGTCACTTCGTTTTAGTTAGCTTTGGATTCCTCCTATTCCGGAAGGGACGATGGGGCCGGTCGTGAAAGGGAATTGTAATGGCGATTCGGCGTAACACGCGAACATCTCAAATAGGACTTCCAGATACGTCGGAGGATCAAAAGAGCCGCGACGAGGTCCTATCATCCTAATGAGACTTTAATTTTACATCACCTCTTTCGGTCACTGTGTTCAACTTTGCTAGCATTTAACTTCGGCATGTTTTAATGACGCTTTGAAGAGCCACGTAAAGTACAATTTAATTATACGTGCAATAAATTACGTCAAGTTCAATTATAACAGTTACACTAATTTAAATCAAAGTTAATTATATGTACGATAATTCAAATAAGACTCAGCTGTACATGCGCTCTCTAAAGTACATTACACAAACTTAATCATACTTTGATTGAATTATATAAAAAATATGTTGGTCAACTTGGTATGTACATACGTAACTTCGATAAAATTTTGAACAAATTAGGAAATGTACCAAAAGTTTCAGTAAACAGTCCTCGAATAAGTTTGAAAAATAATTAAACGAATAGAAGAGCGAAATCATTGGGCGCCAGAGAAACGTAATGCGGAGAATGAACAGATTCTACCAATATTCTTCAATATTCGTAGCACTTTGTATGTACGCGCGGTCGCTTTTCCGCGAGCTGCTGTTTCCGAGAATAATCCGTTTATGGAGATATATTCGCTTGAACTGTGTTATGTGTGATATTAAACTGATATTGCGTGGACTAATTTTCTGCGTAACTGAAATATTCGGTAATAACATGTGCTACAATACTTAAGGATACTCAAATTGGCAATTTTCACGTGATCCGCGTATAGATGTGAAACAACAGAGAAACATGATGCAGAAAATGAGCAAATTCCACCGGAATTAGGCTTATTCTCCGACATTCGTAACTTATGAACGACATGGTTGGTTTTCCGCGAGTTGCCGTTCACGAAATAACTTATTAATGCAAATGTATTTTTAATGTTCATACTGTTTATACTCGCTCGAACTGCATTACACGTGACACTAAGCTGACATTGAGTGGTCTAATTTTCCGCGTAGCCAAAATATTTGGTAGTATATTTGCCGCAATATATATTTAAAAATTTTCACATCGACAGACAATTTCATGTCAATAGTTCGCATGTATAACCTAGATACGAAGCAGCAGCAAAGCGTAATGCAGAGATTTGACAGATTCCATCAAGATTAAGCTTATTTTTCGACATTCGTAAACGATGCGGTTTATTTCTTGTGAACTGCCGTTCGTAAAAATAACGTGTTTATTGAGTCGTATCGTACTGTTTATTTGTTCGAACTGTGCAACGTATAGTACTAGCAAGCTGATATCGCGTGGTTTAATTTTCTGCGTAGCCGAGACGTTCAATGTGATAATATTTATCCCGAAACTTAAGGATACTGACATTGGTAGGCAATATTGTAGGTAGTATTTTCACGTGCAAGTGCGAAACGGCCAAAACACTACTCATATTTTATTTAAAATGCATATTTGCCGGAAAACATTTCACGAATTGTGTTGGCGAATTGTTCGCAAACCTTACTCGATCTGTTGGTGAATAATGCGTGTAAAAAATTCATGATTAATTCTCTTATTTGCAAAAATTTAACATGATGTCTATGCTAGTGTTGACTTTGGCTTTCCTTTTGATCTTGCCTCTCCTACAGCGAACTTGTAACAAACTGCTCGCAAACAGCAATCAAACAAATGAAAAATAACAACCGATTGTAAAGTGCTTATTAACATTTGCAAATTGTTAATAAACAGTTCGCGATCGGTTGTTATTTTTCATTTGTTCGGTTGCTGTTTGCGAGTAGTTTGTTATAAGTTTGCTCTAGGAACGATAAGATCACAAAAGGAAAACAGTAAACCTAAAGTTTACTGTGTGGACGGGTTTGTGGCGGTCAGTGGCAAACATAATATTAGTCAGTATATACTAAACGAGTCATTTTAACGAATTTACGAATTTCTATATTTGATAAAGGATTTTGTTGTTTTTTTACAAAATAAGAAAGAAAAATTTGAGATAAAGTGATTGAAAGAAGAGATCGTGAAATTAACGGAGTTTTACAAAGAAGAATCTGTGGAATGTTAAATTGACAGATATATAGTAATAAATCCAAAAACACAAAAATACAAAATTATATTATAAATATAAAAATGCAAAAAACTATTTTAATTCTCTATCTTCTTTTAATCAACAAATCGACAAAACAATTCTGAGTCATTGTATCTTTTTGTATTTAAAAATTTTTTCTGTCAGAAGCAAATTTACATTTTTTCTTTTGCATCAGCAAATGCATTTATAATACGTTAATACGTATATTTTATACATAACTTTATTCACCTACATATAAAATTATATAAATACAAATATTTATATTCACATGTTTATTTATTTACGTTTATATCGTTTTAATATATTTACGTAACGCTCGCTTTATTTATTTATGTGTATTTATACGTTAACGAAATTTTATATAATTTCATATAAATTTCATATAAATAAACAAAGTTAAGTAAAACATGAATTAATATATTATTACTCATAAAATATTCTAAGTATTGAAAATATAAGAATATTGAGAATATCTATATTCCTCCTACGACTTTTGTTCATACATTTTTTCATAATTCTTTAAACAATTGACAAGTTTTCTAATCGATAAATCTCATTACTTAAAAGAAATGTTTACTGTATAATATTTTGTTCTATTTCCTTTTGTTTGTAAATAACAAAATAAAAACCAAAAATAGGTCAATTTTTAGAAGTTGATTTCGTATATCGCGCATGTGATGGAATATTGCGAGCATCGCGCTGACTATTTTTTGCAACTGAGGTATTTGACGATGATATCGACGTAATGTGATGATATTCTGGTTGACAAGCAATATTTTTACGTCAAGAATTCGCATGTAAAATTGCCGGGGCAATTTTCAAATTTGTCTCACGCGAAATTCATTGCGCGCGTGACGAGTTTCGTGACTATTGTCATATTTCATATTATACTGACGTCAAAAGTGAGCGCAGAAAGCGTTTTTATCATTACATTATTAGATTGGACTCTCGAGTAAAGTAATAACAGTTGATAATAACGATTATATTACGTCACTTGCCTGCAGCGAAATATATCCCTCAGTCGAGAACGAACGTTACACGTGGTCGTGGATGAGTGCGGAGAGTGATCGGGGTGTGAGGGTACTTACAATTAGCACATTTCTTGGAATCGTGAAAATAAGCAGTAATATCCAAGTTGCATACCGTTTTATAAGTTCATTAGCAACTCAAATCGTTTTAGCGCGTTATTATGAGCGTGAGAAAGTGGCAAGTACGAGGAGCCGCTTTAATTTAATACACACAGCACTTTCTCGTATAATGAAACTGTCGCGCTAATTAACTGCGTCTAAGTGTATTAATGAAAGTACTTCTCGTACTTCGAGAGCAGCGTTTTGAGTTATGCATGCTGTTAATATTTCCAGTAAGGCGTCTCGCCGCGCCGCGGTGTTTCCACGTTCTCGATTCCGATCGATTCTCCTTCCGTACCATTTTCCGCCACCTTCAATTTTCTGCTGGCGCGTTGAAAAAAATACGACATTTATACAATTTCCCTGCTCGGAATTCCGTCCGTCTCGCCGTTACCCCTTTATCCCCTTATTGCAAATGTGCATCGGATCGTATAATTTTCGAATAACCCTCGTCAATGACTGCTGCCGACGATTACCAAGCGTCGTGCATAAAACTGCAAATTGTATATTCCTCTGCATCTTTACATATGATATTCCTTTTCATATTTTGACCAAAATATTTCTCCTTATGTTTCAATAATTTTTTTGTTATTGTGAATAAACATGATTGTCTTTAATCGTTTTACTTTCTCGTTAATGTCTCAGTATTAATTCGACGTCTCTCAACACATATTAAATTATTATAACAAAATAAATTGTAGCTAATTAGAATGTTCTTCATTAAAATCTTGACATAAAATAAATCCGCGTGTCATAAAATTATGAATTCCAATTTCTAATGTCTCGGACAAATTGCTATTAGGTATTATTGTTGACCATTTGCCTGATAGATAATTAAATCGATCTGATCAAGCACAATCCCCGCGACGGAGTGGAGTCAATTAACGTTGAAGCTAATTTGCCCCACTCCCGTCAGTCGAAGGGATCACCTCGCAAGACATTTACATGTGTACCTTACGAGATATCCGCAATTACACTCCGCAGGTTCTACCAGGAAGGAGCAATCTCGCGCACGCGATCACGGGTTTCCTGTTTGCGGTCCATCCCATTCACAGTGAAGCTGTGGCCGGTATAGTCGGACGTGCCGACCTTCTTGCCTGTTTCCTGACCTTGACATCTTTCCTGACGTACTCAGCCCATTGTAATCGCACGAGATCGCCGTTTCCTCTGCTACTGGCCCTAGTGTCGTCAACGTTGGCCACCCTCGCCAAGGAAACGGGCATATCGTCCCTGGCTCTCTGCCTTCTGTGGGAACTCTGTCGAGGCGAGCCAAGTCGAAAGGTAAGTGGCACGATATTATCTAGTTCAGCAGTATCGAGTATTTCCATTGTGAAGAGCTCGGTTTGCGACAGCTGAATCATCAGACATTCAGAGCGAGAGATGAAGTAATTTAAGATTTCACATTATAAATGCGAAATTTAGTCGTTATAAAAAATTACGAATCTTGCTCACTCTTGCTCTGAATTCTTTCAATAATGTTTAATGGATTCGCTCTGACAATGAGTTACGTACAACCGCAGATTATCGTACTATAAATTGTGTAAGAATGGCAGATTAAAACAAATTACCAGGAAAGTTTTATACACCATTACTTTGCTCGTCACAATGATAATCATATAATATGAACACTTGGTACATGATATATACAAAGATATTAAGTTTAACTAAGCGCATTTAAAAGTGCCAGCAAAGTACAGATAAAGGTATCTCAAACTATACATGACTGCGCTTGGAACTTGATAGTCTTCGATAGAACTACCATCAGGATAGAACGGTATTTCGCGAATCGATATCAGTTTGCGGACGCGCCGCACGATTTCCGCGCGAGAACGCCGCCGCGCCGCGCCGCGCCGCGTCGTCGTTTATTCGCGCGTCTCATTTCGTGGAGCGTGAAAGTTTCGACAGGGAAACAAGGCGGAAGACAGGCATACCGCGTGCGCACATACGGGCTCGGGGAAGCGTGTAACTGATAACGCAGTGCCGTTGCAATGCGCTGCATCTTGCCTGCATTCTGGCGAAGACAGCGAACTGATGCGCGCACACACACGGTAAGCCGCCCATCTCCAGCCTCCGCGTTTAGGTGCCATGCCTACTGTCGTCACTCACACCCTGCCTACCCTCTTCCCTCCTCGCAATCTCCAAAACCCCCATTCGCCGCCATCTCCTTTCGCGCACGGTGCATCCGGATGCGCTGGATGCACCGGACGCCTCGCGTGATGCATGACGTGCGCCCGTTTCTCTCCCCCTATCTACGCCGCGGTTGGAGGGGTGCCAAGAGGATCGTTCGCATTTTCCGACATCCCTCCAAACGCCTCTGAGGCCTCTACACGTCTTTTTCGTTCTTTTCGTTTGCCCTCCCCTTTCCCTTTTCCCCATTTATATTTCTCTTCTTATTATATTTCCTCTCGTCCTCGCGCTCGCGCCGCGTCGGCTGTGCATCCCTCTGCGGCTTCCTTCTCCTTTTCGCCCAGCTCAGGGTATCCACCATCGAGCGTAAATCGTTCGCACCGTTTTCCATAAAAATCTATAGTCGAGTGCAATATGCTTCAATGGCGGATTAAAGTGCTAGCAGAGAATTTTTTTTTTAGAAATTTTAAATCGTACATTTTTTGTGTCAAATAATAATTTTAATTTTTTCTAATTTTTTAAATTATTATCTTTTATAGTACAAAACCCAACGTAGCGCGACACGTAATTGTTAAAAGAAGATTGCAGCTTTTTCGTGCGAAATCCAAAACGGAAATGCCTCGCTATTCGACAGCGGAAACATCACCGGCGTTAGCAATGGTACTTACTCTTTCTCGTTTTCTGCTCGCTTTGTCGCCATTCCGGCCGCGCGGAAATATGCGTGGAACGGCGGAAGCTGCAACGAGATCCGGGGAGACAAACGAGACGTGACGTTCGGCAGATGAGAACTAGAACCGAGAGGATGGACGCGGAAAGCGCGCGAAGGGCGGAGAGCGGAAATTTATTAAGTTACGATCGAACTGTCCGGAACGATCGCGAAGTAATTGGAAAAATCTGGTTTTCAGATTATCGATTCAGCGAGAGAGTATCGAACGGCCCGGCCGGCTGAATATCTCCTCGTGAAATATCGCCGCGACGTTAAATCCGGCTCTGTGACGTTTGTTTCCTTTTGGATGCTTCGCGTTGGCCGTTTTATCGGAAATAAAACAATATCGTCGCGAAACAGAAAATCCGCGATAAGTGATGGAATTACGGCAATTATGGCGCAACCTCGATAATCTAAACTAATTCCAGTTTATCCGGATGCAAGAACGTATTCAGATTATCGAAACATTTGGAATTTAAATGCGCGATCACGGTTTTTTTTTTTTTTTAATAAAAGCAGCATTTAAATTTAACATAAGCATTTAAATTTAACATAAGCCAATAGCGAGTTTACCGCGCGTTTGATAAAATTTCATTTCATATATAAATTACGCGAATGTCTTATTGTTTATTAAATCATAGAACGATTAATGTTAATTCTCTCGGAATGGATAACACGATTGATTAAGCAGAATAAAAGAAGATTCGTTACCGGAAACTTTCCAGACGTTTAACGATCGATTTCTCAGGACGGCCGTCCCCGAATAAATTAACATTTAACCGCGTAATGTTACACTGTCTTTGCGAAACATGCAGAGCGCCTTATTGTACGTAATACGGATAATTGTCGCTGTCACAGAAAGTCTTTATAGCAAAAGTTTCGGTCCGGAATTAGCGGTTACGGAGCCACTAACGCCGCGCGGATGCAGCCTCGTCGTAAGTCGTAACCCGCTCGCATCGTCCGGAAAATTACATCTTACGGCTGTAACGAACTTGCCGGAAGTTTGCACGAAGCGCGACGTATCGTTCGTTTATTAAGGCAAGCTTTAAACTATTCACGGCCTCGACAAATCTTCCCGTGTAGTGTCTCTTCTCTTTTGCGAACTCGCGGCGCGCAAGAAACTTCGGAATAATACAAAATTGGAATAGAGAAAGGGAGGAGTGGAGTCGAACAGAGAAAGGGTAATGCGAAGTAATAAGGCGTACCGGAAGCAATGTGCAGTAAAACGCGCGCCCGCGCCCGCGCGACACCGTCCTTAAACACGACGATGTGGCATTCAATTTCGCGTCAGCTAACTTTTTTAACGAACTTTGTGGCACACTTTGCGCCAGTTCCCATTTCAGTCTGAGATACGAGACGAGTGTCTCTGCGCACGGCGAAGAGCGTAATCGTGCTTAACGTGAATTATAAATTCACCGCAAACTATTATTTCAACCTGATCCGACTGTCTGTGTAACTTTCGAATCGCGTTTCCAGCCGCGGTTACTGCGGACGGAAATTTCATTAAGACTCTTCGCACGAATTTCGTATAGTTCAATATAATCTAATAATATAATCTAGAGGACGTGTTCCTGTATTCCTATATTTTCCATCTTGTGAGAGTTTATAATGATAAATCTCGGTTATCTGATAAAATATCATCAGGTTGCAAAAATATCGAATAAATATATCGGTTATTCAATGACTATTCAATGATTTCAATTGCTATAAATTTCTAATTGATTTTTTAAAACTTATCTTTATTTTTTGTCGTATTATTGTGTTATTGCTCAATGTTATTGCTCATAATTAGGCAATTAAATTAAAATTACTTTTGCTTTATAATTTCGCTAAAAATGGATTTTTCGTAACGTAAGAACCCGTTCTGCCATTCTTAACTAACATTTTGTTTGTCCATCGCGAACGATGAAGGTAGAGCGTCTGTTATCCCTTCGCGTTTCGTCAACACGAGCATTGTATAGCGAGACCAGTCTTGTTCACCGATTCGTCGGACACAAACGATTTTCTCCTTTCCATCCAACCGAAACTATCTTCCGGTCGGATGCAATGCCGCGTTCACCGAGGTAAACATCGCATCGGCGACTGTGTGAAGACTTTCATACTTCCAATTCGCCCCTTTTCCCTTTTCTGCTTATCCATGAGAAAAAAAAGAGCACGAACGCAGCATACAATACGGAAACAACGTATAACCGATGAACTGACAACAGGAATACCGTCGCGCCGCGTTATTACAGTACCATATTTCCCGAGATACCTCGTAATACATGTCTACGGTACTTTTATTATTTCTGTATATGTACACTCGCGCGACCGATGCATGTATCACGCTCGCGCACATGTGTCGCGACACAGAGTACGCGCTTGCATGCTATCTCGTAGTTACGCGTTTTAAATCTATGACACCTATTCTCTTTATTACGGCGAAAAAAAGTGTGTTGAGCCGAGTCGAGCATCTATAAACATCCATCTAAAAAACTATTCATATTTTATATACACATATATAGAGTAATTTAGTTGAAATCTGTGATGTAATAACTATCAAGATGATAGAATTTAAAAGTTTGATTTTAGCGGTTGCGAGTCCCAACAAATTAAATAGTTTCTTATAGCGCACACCTACACGTTTCTGTTGCGCGCACAACATTTGACCTAGTTTAACCGAAACTCCAAACACACACACACGACGCGGCACAATAAGCTATACGAGTAATGCCATACCCGTCATCCGTTGGATTTCAGGGTAACTGCGGATTCACTCGGGGTCGCAGCGTCGGCATTCTGTCAGGCGGTCTCGCGCTGCTCGCCCTGGGTCGGCTCAGGCTCGCGGGGAGCAGGCCGGAGTTCGCGAGCGCGGACAATCCGACGGCGCGGCATCCGTCGCGGCTGACGCGCGGCCTGACGTTCCTGTATCTGCCGGCGGCCAGCGCGAGAATGCTGCTCTGCCCGAGCACGCTGAGCTTCGACTGGTCGATGGACGCCGTGCCGCGCATAACGAGCCCGTGGGACCCGCGGAATCTCGAGTCCGTGTGCCTGTACGCCGTCCTGATCGGCGCGGCGTTCTGGGCCATCAGGGGTGTGCGACGACCACGTCGAGACTCGACGACGAGCCTGCTCCAGCAAGCGTATCCACGATCGGCGTCGTCCAGGTGTCCGGTGTGCGCCGGTAGGCGCACCGGCGGCTGCCACACGGACGGCTGTCGCGCGGCCAACAACAATAATAACAGTCCGCTCGGCGATTGTCACTGTGCCAAGAGGCCGAACAGCAACGGCGGCGTGAACGGCGTAAACGTCGGCGGCCGACAAACCGCGGCCACCGCCCTCGCCGTCTCCCTGGGCTTCCTTGTGCTCCCGTTCCTGCCGGCGAGCAATCTATTCTTCTACGTGGGCTTCGTTATAGCCGAGAGGATACTGTACCTGCCCAGCGTGGGCGCATGTTTGGTGGTCGGCGCCGCGGTGTCGGGATGCTACCGGATAGCGAGGAGAAACGGGTCCAGGACGCGCGGCAGAGCGGTGCTGCTGGGAACGGCGATTCTCATCGGCGTGATGTCGGCGAAAACGCTCGTGAGGAATGCCGATTGGAGGGACGAGGAGAGCTTGTACAGATCCGCGCTGCACGTCAATCCTCCGAAAGGTAAGGGCTTAATTGTAGTTTAAGGACAAATATGGAAGGAGAATAATTGAATTTGTACATACGTATATACATATATTATAGAATAATAAACAAAAAGGAAAAGATGACGAGTAAAGAAGAACAGATATCAAAGTGTATCTGACAGTTTTCTCATCAAGTAGAGTAACCACTTAAAAACTCCCATCTTTTGCTAAATAATGTATTTTTTTAACGACCGCGCGCGATCATATACCGCAGAGCCCAACGTCGTCTCGATATATCTCATGAAATATCGTCAACATTGGTGACATTTTTATCAGCTGTGACCATTCCGTCGTTGACTGCGAGCCCTTAAATGCATACAATATCTATGAGAGTGTCACTCTTTATACACGAAGTGTCATAAAAAAAATGGAAGAGAACAACCGGTGTTCCGTGCGTTACCGCTTCGCCGGACGGATTAAAGACATAAAGATAGTAAAACGTGCCACGCGCGTTAATAATAAAAAGCCATTGCGCGTTGATCGAAGCCCGATAGGCGCGTCACCGCAGCGAAATATACGACCAAAGTAAAAGTGAAATTCCCTGCCAGCCGACGGTGCCGACGGATATCGCGCGCCGCCTGTTTTCTCGTTGTAACGCCAGGAGCCATTGTGGCACCGACGCACGGGCATGTGTTATCCCGTCTGTTCATCTTACACCTCGACGCGAGCAACTATGCGCCTACCATGTCCATAAAATCATCGGAAAGATGTATACGCGGCATGCGATGAGAAAAAAGTCTGACCCTTCTTTTTCCGTTTCCACTGTGCTTTGTCTCCCTCTTTTTCTCTTTTCCACGATTTCACGGATCTTATACTGACTCGCAGATACGTACTTGCGTGCAGCATGCAAAAAATGCTGATTTACAGAAGTAGAATTAAAAAGAGTTTTGTTCTAAAAAAAACTTCTATTTTAAAATAATTTTAACGTGATTTTTAACAAAGTTATTATAAAGTAATTTTGTCCGAAATATTTATGAATAAATATGTTGGAATCTTTACTATACATATTTTTATTTAAACAAGTTTATCTTTAAATAAGAGTATATTAATTCTCATAATTCCAATAAATTCTATCTAATAATTCCAATAAACGCAGGACAGTTATATTCTCTTACAATTAGATTATTCTCTGTGCGCGATTGCTTAATGCAGTGAAAGATTAACTATCTCTCTCCCGCGTTTCTTCTAGCTCTGCATATATCTCATATTTTTAATCTATCTGACGGAAACGTCTTATGCGCGCCAACATATACGCGCGTTAAGAGCATACGTGAGTTTCTCGTTTCTTCTCATCCGTCGAGCTCTCCCTTTAATGCATCCTTCTAATCCGTCCCGACCTTTTTTCACCTTTTATCCACTTTCATACGGCGCTTATCCTCCACGGTGTACTTTTTCGTAATTATTTTAACTTACAGTCCCGCGAACGTAACTGCTACGGCCGGCTTCTCTCTCGCTGCTGGCGAGAATTTTTGCTTCGTTTCTGTAACGCGTTTCATCCGCGCGATACAACGCGAGTATATTGCCAGAGAGAGAGAGAGAGAGAGAGAGAGAGAGAGAGAGAGAGAGAGAAAGAGAGAGACGCAACGAGTTCCTGCCGTATTAATTTGACCTCTTCCACAACTGTTGCCGCCTATATTCTCGCTGTTATATATATATATCCAGTATATTGAAAGCAATTTCGCAACGTTTTCCTATTTCGTATATTAAAAAGTGCCTTGAAAGTACAAACAGTACAATCTTTTTGCGAATAAATTTACAAGGGAAAAACAGATGGATATTTGGTTTTTAAACTCGATACTAGAGCATCGGCCATATAAGTTACCCCGATTCTTCCTTCACATGCGTACTCTGGGGCGCCATCCGTCTTTGCCACTTTTTACACTCTATTCGCTCCATTTACTTTCGTGATAATCTAACGATTGATTGCGCGATTTAATCTACCGGACAGTAGTTCGTATTAATTGTGCCGCACATCAGCGCTGCGCATCTGTTCCACGTCATCGGTCGCATTACGTTATTTTTAAGATTATCTCAACATTTTTATTATTTATGCATTCTCGCTCGCTTTAATCCCGAGCATTTTAAAGTCACACTTCGTCAAACTTTTATCATTTTAATATATCAAAATGAAATCGGTTTTATAACGAAACTAATGTAGAAATCACTAATAATCATTAATAATTCATATTAATATATATAAATATGGAGAAGTTAGATTCTCGTTACAAACTTCCCTCATTACAAAATTCTCGTTACAATTTCTCGTTCAAGAAGCGCGTCCCGATTCGACTTGATAAATGAAAGATAACTGTACACGCTTATTAAATTTTGACCAAGAAACCTCGCTTCTGTGTATATCCCCACATTTTTTAAATTAACAATCCCGCAGAGCTGCTCATCTTAATTCCGCGACCCGGCATTTGCCCGTCGTCGGTCTCACGAGACAATCTCGTCTCTTCTCTCGGGATGCTACCCATTCCCACCTAATCTTCATCCATTTTTTTTAATGTTCCCGCAAAGGGGAAGAACGGGGCGGATCGAGAGCGAGAGAGCGGACGGTCACGCGAGCTGACGCCGACACAACGCGCTACTACCGGGGCGTCAGCGCCGACGCGAACGTCGCAGCGCGTTTTAATTGCGCCGACAGAAATTGCGTGTTACCGTGTTAACAGGCTGCTCCGCTACGAGAAATAAATTTACATTTTGTTGGTTCAGAGGTCGCGCCGACACACTCGCGTATTCGCCGGACGATGCATCCGTGCCCATTCTCACCCTTTCCGCGGGCCCACCCCGCCTTCCTGCTCAACAGCCTGCACCTCACAGCTGCGTACATTCTCCCCTTTGCACCACCGAGGCCGCAGAGTCACTCTGCCGTCGGGTTGACGTCTACTCGTTGATTTAACACGCGTATCTATATATAGCACCGTTTCCCTCGGCTAACTGCGATTTCCACTGATTATACGGCGATAACGTATCAATTACAATTGAGTACACGTCTAAAATTGTACCGATTATAAGAAAAAGTAGTTGAATATTTCTGTCATGTATCTTACACACACAATTAAAATCTCTAAGAAATTATTTTTAAATATAGAAATTAGAAATTATTCTTAAAATGCTATCTATTTAAGACAATTAAAAACAAAAAAGAGAGCATATAAAGATTTAATCGTTGAAAAATGTATATCTAGTAAAATTATAAATCCAATTGGCGAGACGGTGTCGATATTGTATTATGCAGATATTTAATTCTGCTTTGAAACACGGTCTTATTTCACATCATGCTTTGGATTTACCAGAATTAATATCACTTAAATGATAAAGTGCAAACTGTACTTCTGTGCAAACTGCACTTCAGATACCACATAATAGCGTTGGAAGTATAATAACTACGAAAATATTAACCTTTATGTCTGGGGAGGTGATGTATATAGGCGCGGTGTGCGTGCGCGCGGCATGTAACTATGTTCCCGGGGCACTTCCTGCTGATCATTTAACGAGTTGAATATTCAACTATACAAGCGAGCACGTAAGCAGAGAAATGATGGGCGGGCGTATCTTGATCGTGATAATTCTCAAGTAATTGCCGCTAGGATAATAATTAACACCGAAAGCGTAAGATGTATTTCGCACCTGTACATCGTGCCATCCGTTAATAATTAGCTTGCTGCCGTCAGCTTCCTATATACAGACACCGTGTTCCACTATTATTCTTTCTCAGTGCTTCATATTTATCACATTTTTCGAAGCCGATAAATTATTATCTTCATGTTGAATAATCATCGGTTTGAATTTTTTAATATATTTGATACATTTTGCCAACCAACCCTCTACTTTATTAAATTAAATATTCCTGATCTTAAATTAAATATTGTTTGCGCTGGTGATTCCAGCTTATGGCAACTTGGGCAGCATTCTCAGCGAACAGGGGCGAGTAGCCGAAGCGGAAGAAGCGTTTGTTCAAGCTCTTCGCTATCGACCGAACATGGCAGACGTGCACTACAACCTGTAAGTACTACATCCTAATTCATTCATATTCTTCTTGTTTACGTCAATATTCATGATGTACACGAACCGCATGTATTAAATACGCATAAATACGCGAGTAATGTGTGAAACTTGATAATTTATCATGTTTTGCAGTTAATAATTTTTGCGAATCTGTTAAACGAAAAATTGCAAAAAGAAATCGCGCATTTTTCATATTCTGTGAAAAATATATTTTTAAAAGATCGTACCTTTAAACTATTATGCGAAATCTTTTCTCTCACGTCACTGAGAGACTCAAAGTGAAAGCTATATTAGGTCCAATATGAATTCGTCCTCTAAAAAGGGTCTTAAACCTCTTTTTATATAAGCAGCATAGTCGTCTGAACTTAGCCCGCTAAGTACGACTCGATGAAGCACGAATGCCGGTAAGAAGATTACCAAACGATCCCCATATTTGACCGACTAATTCTTTCCCGATTTTTCCGATCCGCTGCGACGCGGAATATATTTGCTCGCGTTAAGCCGATCCGGAAAGAGGGTGACCGGTGAGGGGAAACTCTGTTTACGGCTGTAGTCATATCTGGGGGGAGAAACGGCCGTGAGCTCCTTAAGCACGTAATATCGGTCAGCGTGGCCTACGACTGTGCTATCTCCTTCCTCACGACGCATCAACGACTTCGTACAGGGCTTACCGAGGACGGCCCCCGAGAGAGCTGCTGAAAGTCCCCCGGGGTCCTTCGATCGGCGCTCATCATCTTTCGACGCTCCACCTACTAAAGGTGGGAAAGGACGTGGAAGCCTGTCAAGCCGTTGAGTCGATAAGCCTGCCTACCCTCTGCACGCTTCTGATAAGCCGGCTACGTGGCGCGTAGTACGTGCCACGTACTTGCCCCATTATGTACCCACCATAGACATCTTAGTATGGCACTCCTGCCGGCTAAATTGAACGATAGAAAGCGGCGTATTAATCGATAGTGAAATTATAGCGATTGGAGACGAAGTGATTTTGGTGCGGAGAGCTGATAAAATAATTTTGTCGTAATATTAACATGTAATAATTTCGTAGTAATTTATTATTGAGTTTGATACGGAAGGATGTGTGAGAGCTTCCTGAATCACTTGTATAAATGGTGATATGTATATGAGAGCCAGAATATTATATATGAAGTAATTTCAAACTAGAATAAATATAAATTAATGTGCATTTGAATGGATGGCGCTGCTTTTGGTTATGCCCGATACATAAGTAATATGTCATAGATAGTTAATGAAGGCAAAAAACATTGCGGGTGAGACAGGCGAAAATAGAGTAGAATAAATATAACTTAACATAATCAGATACTAACAATAAGATAAAAATGTGCTTTATATGTGCTTTTGACATATATAAAATATTGTAATTGATAATTAGATTTCACTTTTGATAGTAAAATATGCTAAGAACATATTTAAAAGAGAAAGATTTATTTTTATTATAGATTTATTAGACTTCACTATTAGTTATTTAATTCTCAGCTATTAATTGCCTCAAATTTATACATGTAAAAATATAATTGATCACGATATTTGGATATCGCATATGTCAGTTAATAAATTCACGCGCTAAACATTTCAAGACAATTTTCCTAAATGGATAGTAGAACACGGTAAATTAGGTCGGTTGTGCAGAGCAGAAAATGTATACTTCGTTACTTATTGAAACAAATTTGTCGAGCTCGGCAGTGCAAATAAAAAAAGCTATTTCGAAGAAAAATGATTTGAAACTCTAATAATATCGATGTTACGATTTGTCATGCCAATATTACGATTTTCAAGCGCTAATATTGTTTCTTGCAATATTGCCTTAATTTCAACGCTTAGTCACGTAACACTCTATTTTTTCTTGTTTCAGTAATAACATTTATTCAATAATAAATCAGTAGTTCGTATCGGATCCATGAAATATCTCGTATCCATGAAATATCAGATTTTTACTCTTCGACGCAGAAAAATTTTAGAAGATTTTCTATTTAATTTTTTTTTGGTGGTATTGTGATACTTGATATATAGCTTGGTACAATGATTGATATCTTGACTTAGGCAGTTTGAAAATATTTCCGGAACATACGTACAGGCGTGTGAAATCATATTTACTTTGTTAAGTAATTACTATACACGCTACTTCAACATGCTGAACCAGCGTGCACTGCGGCTACAAGCGGTTACAAGCAAATTCCGATGAAACCGCTCGTCCGTTCAGATAAGCCACACCCGACGTTTGTCCCTTCGTGGTACTGACGGTAATACCTCTCAGGCCTTCACAGAATCAGCTTTTAGAGTGAAATGAAGCGCGATGTAATTACCTATCGCTAATCCTTTGACAAAGATCGAAAAAGTCTGCTGGCATCATCAGAATTTCGGTGATAATACGTCATATATATGATTTGGGATCAGATATCAAAGTTAAAAACGATATGAGAGGAATTCTAGGACACCCTGTAACTTAATTAGCAAACGTAAAAGATATCTCCCTATGTTATTAGAAGCGAAATTACGATCGTAAATCGTATGTCCTTTACTATGTTTTTTCCTCCATTCTATGTGTATTCTATGTTTCTTTCGCGAAGCGAATTCTCTGAAAAATGACAGCTCATTTGATCACCTTCCGGTTATTATCCCTTCCGATGATACATAGCGCACAATTATCACCCGACGTACGTTATCGATACGAATCAATAGCCCGGGAAATTTCCGTTACGTCCTTCCATCATCATCCGCGGAAGAAAGAAGCGGTTAATAAGAAAGCGACGTATATATCGTTCGTTCGCTCGCTCGCCACGTTTCTCTCGTCTCCCTCCGGCCGTTTTACTTTCTTTCGCGGAAATTTACGAGCAGATCAGATATATCGCAGGATATTACAGTCTGGATGCTATGAAGAAAATATAAAGTCCATTTCGTGCTTCATGATTCTCTCAGATATATTAAATCCTCCTTTTACTTATTGTATTTTATATATATATATATATATATATATAGCAATCCGTCTTCGAATCATGGCCTGGTCTCTCATTACTTTCGAAAAAAATTCTAAAATAAGCCAACGTTTGTCCCGGTTCTGGTGATAGATCGATCCTCGCGATACGCTCGACGATCTCGCTTGTTCGCGCCGTGATAACGGGACAACGATTGGCGATTTTGCGCCTACTGTCTCGCTTCTGCCGAGGTCAACTCCTAAGGAGACTGATGACAGGCCCGGGTAGTGGCGACGGATGTTGATTTATTAAAACCCCGGCGTGATCGTAAGTCATCCATCAACGGCTGCCGGTGAATGGAAAATTGATTAGCCTTCGCCGCGTGTTAGGAAAACCGTGAGGGGGGACAAAAAGTTCTCTCCGACCGGGTATCCAAAGAATACATCGTAATTATGTATTACTCTGTTACTCCTGTCGGCAGGTCGATACTTAATTAGCCGCGCCCTCCCCTTGCCCTCTCATTGTTACAACAACGTGATGGTTTGATAATTCTCTCTCTAGCGAAGACTCGGCGCGCGAAAAACCGACCGGGGAAAAAAAAGCGCGTCGCAAAACAACGAGAGTGAACAGGGTAACCAGGATAATTAATAATTGTAGCGAAGCCACACAGTTTCCCTTAATCGCGCAAATGTGTAATGAAACAGCATTTGTGTATTATAGATAATAAATATATAACAGTAAAATATTATAAACTGATCACTGCACGATAAGCGAATTGTTTCTCTTAAACATTTGAGTCTTAAAACGTAAAATGGATGAGACAAAATGCTAATAATGTTAAGTAGCAAGGATTGTTCAAATTATTTGCAGTTATTGCGACTATAATCTTGTTCAGTAATTGCCTAGGATACTCTGTACCGTTAAAATAGCTAACCAAATTAGCTCACAACGCATTTCGTTGCTAGACGGAAGTTGATTCCCGGCGGTCGTTCGGCGGAAAATGGAATCGGTTGATTCGAGG